TGTTCCACTCTGTTACAGAGGGATTCCACTGTGTCTTTCAGATCCTTGAGGGCTGCAACCTCTTGTCTTAGTGTTTCAAAATCTTTGATCATTTTGTCTTTGAAACTGTTGAGTTCTTGATACATCTTTTGAAAGATTTCTTGAGATATCTTTTGGATAAATTCTTGAGAAATATTTTGAATAATTTCTTGAGATCTTTTCAATAATTTCTTGAGCTTTTATTTCCTTCCTTCCTTCCATCCTGTTTATCTTATTTGCTATCCACGTTCTGAACTGAATTTCTGACATTTCAGCCATTTGCTTGTTGATGGGATCTTCAATTACGTCTGCCCCATTTTTCCTTGGGGGAGTTGATCTATTCTGGTTATTCGAGTTGCCAGAATTTTTCTGCTGATTCTGCCGCATTCTGAGTTTATTTTGTTTGGAGGCCTTATCAGAAGTGTTCAGTTGGTGGCTTCTTCTGGTTGCCCAGAGAGAGGTGCAGAGCATGTCTGTTGTCTACTCCCAGTTCTCTGGTGCTGGGAAAACTGGGGTGCAGTGGAACGGCAGCACCTGCATGGGAGTGCGCGTGGCCGGATTAGACCTTGTTCTGCCTACTGGGGCAACCAGGCGGCAGGAGATTGGTAGTAGGCAGATCATTCCTAATTCAGTACCCTAGAGAAGCCAGGGGGTGGGGGAATGGCAGCAGTAGTGTAGGGTATGTGAGAGACCAGATCAGTCTTAGTTCGGCCCCACCAGAGTAGCTGGGGGGAGTGGAGGACTCCTTCACCATGGCCTGTTGGATGCGTGTGGCACTAGCAAGCCAATCTATTCCCTCCCAGCCTGGGAGCCCGTAGTGGGGAACTCCTCCACCTCCATCTGTGGGATGCACATGGCTGTAACAAACAGTTCTGGTCCCGCCCAGAGCGGAAGACTTCTCCACCGCTTCCTGTAGGGCGCGCGTGGCTCTAGCAAGCAGTTCTGGGCCCACCCAGCACAGGTACCTGGAGCAGGGAACTCCTCTGCTGGCCCCCGTGTGGTGTGCATGTCTGTAGAAGGCTGTTCGGGGTATGCCTGGAATGGAGGACTCTTCCACCACTGCCCACAGGACACCCATGGCACTAGCAAGTAGTTTTGGGCCCACCCAAAGCCCTGGAGTGGGGATCTCCTTGGCTGCCTGTGGGGTGCGCTGCTCTATCAAGCAGTTCTGGGTCCTCCCAGAGACGGGGACTCCTCTACCACTGCCTGTGGGGTGTTCAAGGCTCTAACAAGTAGTTCTGTGCCTGCCCAGAGCAGGGGAAGTCCTCTATAGCCACCTGCATCCTGCAGGAGGTGTGCAGCTCTAGGAAGCAGTTCTGCACCTGCCCAGAGCCCTGGAGTAGGGATCTACTCTGCCACCTGTAGGGTGCGTGGCTCTAGCAAGCAGTTCTAGGCCCTCCCAGAGTGGGGGACTCGTCCGCTGCCACCCGCGGGGGTGCGCAAGGCTCTAGCAAGTGGTTCTGCGCCTGCCCAGAGCAGGGGAAGTCCACTGTGGCCACGCGCTGCACGCAGGAGTTGTGCGGCTCTAGCAAGCAGTTCTGCGCCCACCTGGAGCCCTGGAGCAGGGATCTACTCTGCCACCTGTGGGGCACACAGCTCTAGCAAGCAGTTTTGGGCCCTCCCAGTGTGGGGGACTCATCTTCCGCTACCCGCGGGGGTGCGCAAGGCTCTAGCGATTGATTCTGTGGCTACTCATAGCAGGGGAAGTACTCTGAGGCCACCCGCCACCTGCAGGAGGTGTGTGGCTCTAGCACGCAGTTCTACGCCTGCCCAGAACCCTGGAGCAGGGATCTAATCTGCCGCCTGTGGGGTGCACGGCTCTAGCAAGCAGTTCTGGGTCCTCCCAGAGTGGGGGACTTGTCTATCTCTACCCGCGGGGGTGCGCAAGGCTCTAGCAAGTACTTCTGTGGCTTCCCAGAGCAGGGGAACTCTTCTGTGGCCAACTGCCCCCTGCGGGAGGTTTGTGGCTCTAGCAAGCAGTTCTGGACCTGCCCAGAGCCCTGGAGCGGGGGTCTCCTCTGTCGCCCATGGGGTGCATGGCTCTAGCAAGCAGTTCTGGGTCCTCTCAGAGTGGGGGACTCGTCCGCCACCACCCGTGTGGGTGCACAAGGCTCTAGCAAATACTTCTGTGGCTGCCCAGAGCAGGGAAACTCCTCTCTGGCCACCTGCTGCCCGTGGGAGGCTTGTGGCTCTAGCTCGCAATTCTGGACCTGCCCAGAGCCCTGGAGCCGGGGTCTCCTTTGTCGCCCATGGCGTGTGTGGCTCTAGCAAGTGGTTCTGGGTCCTCTCAGAGTGGGGAACTCATCTGCCGCCACCCGCGGGGGGTGCTTAAGGCTCTAGCAAGTACTTCTGTGGCTGCCCGGAACAGGGGAACTCCTCTCTGGTTATGCGCCCCCTGCCGGAGGCTTGCGGCTCTAGCAAGCAGTTCTGGACCCGCCCAGAGCCCTGGAGTGGGGGTCTCCTCTGTTACCCGTGGGGTGCGCGGCTCTAGCAAGCAGTTCTGTATCCTCCTAGAGTGGGAGATTTGTCTGCCGCCACCTGCGGGGGTGCACAAGGCTCTAGCAAGTACTTCTATGGCTGCCCGGAGCAGGGGAACTTCTCTCTGGCCACCCACCACCCGCAGGAGACTTGCGGCTCTAGCAAGCAGTTCTGGACCTGCCCAGAGCCCTGGAGCGGGGGTCTCCTCTGTCGCCCGTGGGGTGTGCAGCTCTAGCAAGCCGTTCTGGGTTCTCCCAGAGTCGGGGACTTGTCCGCTGCCACCTGCAGGGGCGCAGAAGGCTCTGCCAAGTCCTTCTGTGCCTTCCTGGCACAGGGGACTTCTCTGCGGCCACCCGCCACCCGCAGGCGGCTCTAGCAAGCAGTTCTGGGGCCTGCTTTGTACCTGTATTTTGTGTTCTTAAATGATCTTCCTTGGATTCACAGCTTGCCGAACTTCTTTCTGGGCTCAGCTCCCCGTCTTTGGCTTCCTATATTCTGATTCCAACCAGTTTTTCTTTCTTTGCTCAGGAGCCTCTGACCAGGGTTGCTACCAGTCGGCCATCTTCCCAGAATCCCCAGAGCTTTGTATCTTTACTGCCTAATGTTTTTATACATAGCAGAAGCCCATTAGATGTGAATTAATTGAATTAATATAAAAATATGATATATTTGAGGAGAAAAATCCTTATTTCACCTTTTTTTTGTAGTAATCTTTTAAGTTTGCTGGAAGAAAATAGTAGAACAATGAAGCAATCCTTTTACTTAGCCAAATTTAATAGTTGAACAGCTAATTTAAATTATTTTTTATCTGTACTTCCTTTTCTAGAGTGGGAATTCCATTTGTGTGGTAAAATGGATTTATTTTGGCTCAGGAAATTTGCAGTTCTACTCTGGAAAATTTTTCTCTTGAAGGTAAGTTCATGTATCTGTGGGAAATGATTGTAAACGTTAATAAAGCCAATGGGAAATTTTTAAAAAGCTCCTTCATTTCATTTTAACTTATGGCTTTTTTAAAATTGTTGTTCCAAGGCTGAGGGTAGCACTTTTAAATCTAAAGAATACTGATAGGGTGAATTAATGGAATGAATAATGAAATATTGAAAAGGTTGAGAAAGATAAGCTAGGAAACACTTCTCATTATAAAATGAAGCAGAATAATATAAGTTTATATTGTATGTTTATGTACACACAGGAGTATAAGTACACACATACATACACACACCCACACACTTTTAGTTTGATTAACATAATCCTTTTGTTTCTTTTGTAGAGGCGGAAACTAATTGGTTTACTTGTGGAAATTGGACTGACATTTTTACTTTTGGCATTCATTTTGCTGAGCCGTAGATTAATGCCTAAGAAGTTTCAGAATGCTTCCATTTATGATCCTCTTCCTTTGATACTACCTGTTTTCACTAATACTTCAATTGTATATGAGTTGGTTTATGTGCCTTCTGGAAGTGATGTGGCAAAAAATATTACTGAGATGGTGAAAAGGGAATTAAACTTCAATTTTAAAGGTTAGCAAACAAATCTCTAATATCTAAAAGTTTTCTGTAGAATGTATAATTAACTTTTTAGAAGAGTCATGCTTTAGTCACTTTCATAATTTATGCATTAATCTCCTAAATATGCAGTATGGATTTGGTTAAATAATTTGACATATGTTTATGGTATAATCATTATTGAAATATAATATTTAAAATTAAATGACTGAGTTCCTATCTAGTTCTTTAACTCTAAATCTTCTTTTTCATGGATCATGCTTCTTCAACTACAGTAAGTACCTGATAGTGTGCCAAGGGGACACCAAGCCTCAAGATTAATCAGATATTTTTCATGAGTGCATAAACTTTGAGGTCATTAATTTTAAACATTTTATAAAAATGTTATTTAAGTATGATATATGAATACATTTGAAAAGAAAATTTAAAAATTAGAAATATACAACAAAATGCTAATTTTCTTAACTTCTCCTTACTCCTGATTTCTTTCTCTGTGATTTCTCTTCTCTAATGACACCATTAGAAATTTTGGGGAAGGGATCAAGATGGCTAACTAGACAGTAGGTAGTATGTGCCTCCATCACAGAAGGGAACCAGAATGGTAAGTAGACACATTTTAAATTGATCATCTGGGAGAGAACACTTAAGATTCACCATAGAAGTGACAGGAAGCACCAAAAGTTAGTAAGCAGAGAGTTTAAGGAAGCTTGCCTGGCTGGGGACTGGCTGAAAGCTGGGGAAACTCCTGGATGCAGGGAAATGGTAAGACAAAACCCCCCAGTACTCCACATTCTGAAGTGGGGTTTTGCCATTTTGGGTATGGGGGAACCCCATGATCCATGCAGGAGTTGTGCCTAATATACATAGCTGCTTAGAGATTATGCAAAGACATTGCTTCAGAAAAGGAATCCACATGGAATGCCACGGATATCTGAACCTAGAGTAGCTTCAGCTGGGTGTTGTTCAGAGAACCTAGATACCGGGGATCTAAAGACTTGGTTTCTGCCACTGCCTTGCTCCAAGGAGGGAGAGGAAAGGGCAGGTATTGCCATGCCCTCCTGGCCTTCCTAGCTTGGGCTGCTGTTGAGACTGAGACATGAACCGACCACACTCCCCACAACTTCTGGCCCACAGTGCTTGTCTGGGAGGGACCTCATTCTGTCTGATCATAGGCCCAAGACACAATTTTGAGAGTTTAACACTGGGTAGCACCCAGCCCTTGGGCTGAGTTCAGGCTGATATGGCTGCAGGACCCACCTGGTTGAGAAGAGACATGGAAACCAGACCTGTCCTGTACTACCTAGGTGAGTACCCGTTGTCCTGATATGGGCTGCTGTGATACCAAGCTGTGCGCGTACCATGCTCACAACAGCTTCTTGCACATGCTGCTTGTTGGAGACAGGCCCTACCCACTCTGGTCACAATCCCACAGCTTATGCCATTTTGAGAGTTTAGTGTTGAGCTTCACAAATGTACCCAGGGCAGGCCTAGGCTAACACTACTGAAGCTACATCCGAACTGAGGATGGAGGAGGAAACTGAGAACTCTTTACACTCCTGGGACTGTGAAGTTTCCATTGCTCTGCTGTAGACTTCTGTGAAAAAAAGACCTTCATGACAGGTGTTTTGAAATAGTCCATTCACACACACACACACACACACACACACACACACAAAGAATGTGCAAAGCCTTCTAGATATCTGAGACTAATAAAGTGATCAGACTTATGAATTATCAGTATTCCCAAGGGGGAAGAGAAAGCAAAACGTTTAAAAAACCTATTTAAGGAAATAATCAATAAAAATGTCCTATTTAGCAAGAGAGTTAGGCATCCAGATACAGGAGGCCAAGAAATCCCCAGGAAAATTCATTGCAAAAAGGACTTCATCACGGGATATTATATCACAATGAGCAAAGTCAAAGAGAGAGAATTTTAAAATTAGCAAGAGAAAATTGCCTAGTTACTTACAAAGGAAACTCCATTACACTTTTCAGCAGTAATCTTACAGCTACCCCCTCCCCCAATGGGATGGTATTTTCAAAGTACTAAATTAAAAAAATCCTTGTCAGCCAAGAATTTTATAAATTTTTATAGCCTACCAGAGTTAGTTTCATCAAGGAAGGAGAAATACTCTTTCCAGACAAGTGAACACAGGGAATTTGTCACCACCAGAATGGACCTACAGTAAATGCTCAAAGAAGTCTTTAACATGGAAACAAAAGATTCATATTTACTATCATGATAACACTTGGAAATATAAAACTCACAGGTCTTATAAAACAATCACACAAAGAGGGAAGATAAAAGAATCAAATGGCATCATGACAGAATTGCATCAAACACAGATAAGAAGACAAGAAGAGAATTTAGAAATTAGTTAGAAAACAATAACATGACAGGAACAAAGCCTTGCATGTTAATATTAACCTGAATTTAAATAAATTAAATGTTCTACTTAAAAGATACATGTATTGGCAGAATGAATAAAAAGATACAATTCAGCTATAAGCTACTTTAAAGAAACTCACCTTAGTGTAAAGACATGTACAGACTGAAAGTAAAGGGGTGAAAAAAGTATTCCATGCTAACAGAAAACAGAAATGAACAAGAATGGTGATACTTTCATGATAAAAAAGTATTTGAATGAAAAAATAGTAAAAAGAGAAAAAGATCATTATATAATATGTCAATAGAAAGAAGCCACGTTCTATAAAATACTTTAAAGAGGTTTATTCTTTTTTTTTTTTTTTAAGTAGGGATAGATGCTGTTTTCTTCCAAAGAATGTAACTTGGTTTAAAGAAGGAAGGACAGGCTGGGTCTTAGCCCTTACCTACAGCTTGATTGGGCTTCTTTGTGCTGGGCACAACCCTTTAGTCTCAGGCATTATATCCATTTCACAGTTATAACATGATCTTATGCAGTATTCACATTGCATCCTGGAACAAACACAACAAATGGGGAAAAAGGTATGGTAGGCCAAGTAAAACCTTTATTTATATGACATTGGGTGATAAAAGTCACAAGTGTTAATAATTTGGCCTACCTACTAGACTTACTATATGCAAAATTACTGAGCCAGAGATACAAAGATGTGTAAGACAGACAAATTTCCTTGGAGTGCATGACCAAGGCAGAGAGAAAAACATTTAACAAGTACCAATAACTACTACTGTGATAAATGTTTCAAGGAAAAAATTTAAGGACCTGTGAGAGTATGTAATCTTTATACTTATGGTGCTAAGAGAGTAAACACCCCTTCCTTTTTCTTTCCTTCCCTTCCTCTTTCTCTCTTTCTTCTTGGCAGTCTCACTATGTTGCCCTGGGTAGAGTGCTATGGAGTCACAGCTCACAGCAACCCCTAACTCTTGGGCTTAAGCAATTCTCTTGCCTTGGCCTCCTGAGCAGCTGGGACTACAGGTGCCCACCACAATGCCCAGCTATTTTTTGCTTGTAGTTGTTGTTATTTGGCAGACCCAGACTGGATTTGAACCTGCTAGCTCTGGTGTATGTGGCTAGCACCCTAGCCACTGAGCTACAGGTACAGAGTCAACACCTTTTTTTCTTGAGGGAACTCTAGATGTTATCAAATGAAAGATTTGCTCCATGATGTTTTTGTTTTTGCATCTACATGGGTATTCTTTTTAAAAAAATTTTTATGTTCATTTGAGGGTACAAACAACCAAATCACAATATTTGAATTTGTTAGGTAGAATCTGTCTTGTAGTTATGTCCTGCACTCAGAAGGTGTGCCATACACCTCTACATTGTGCTCATGGATCACCTAAAACCCCCCTCTCCTCCTCTCCCCCTCTCATTCCTCATCCCCCAACTTGAATTGAAATGAATTTTTCTTCTATGTGGGCATGAAATAGATCATCTACTGGTTTTGTATTAATATTGTGTATATTGGATATTTGCTCTTCCATTCTGGTGATACTTTACTGAGAAAAATGTGTTTCAACTCTATCCAGGTTTTCTGAAGTCACCATATTTTTTTTTATGGCTGAATAGTATTTCATGGTATGCATATGCCACAGTTTCTTAATCCATTCTGGAGTTGATGGGAATTTAGGTTGCTTCCTCATCTTGGTGATTGTAAATTGAGCTGCAATAAGTAATCTAGTACAAATGTCCTTATGATAAAATGTTTTATTTTTCTTCAGAGTAGATGCCCAGTGGTGGGGTTGCAGAGTCAAATGGGAGATCTATTTGAGTTCTTTGAGAATTCTCCATACTTCCTTCCCAAGAGGCTATATTAGTTTGCAGTTCCACCAACAGTGTAAAAGTGTTCCTTTTTCTCTACATCCATGCCAACATCTTCAACTTTAGGATTTTGTCATGTGGGTTAATCTTACTGAGGTTAGGTGATATCTCAGGGTGGTTTTGATTTGCATTTCTCTGATGATTAGGGACTATGAGCATGTTTTCATATGTTTGTTGTCCATTTGTCTGTCTTCCTCAGATAAGTTTCTGTTCATGTTTCTTGCCCAGTGGAATTGTTTTCTCCTTTTGCTGATTAATTTGAGTTCTCTATAGCTCCTAGCCTTTGTCAGATTTGTAATATTCAAATATCTTTTCCCATTCAGAAAGTTGTCTATTTGCTTTGATTATTGTGTCCTTAGTTCTGCAGAAACTTTTCAGTTTAATTAAGTCCCATTTGTTTATTTTTTTGTTGTTGCAATTTCCATGGAAGTCTTCTTCATAAAATCTTTCCACAGACTGACATCTTCAGGAGTTTTCCCCACACTTTCTTATAGGATTTTTATCATGTTATGCCTTAGATTTAAATCTTTTATCCATCTTGAATCAATTTTTATAAGTGGTGAAGGGTTCAGGTCAAGTTTTTGTCTTTTACATGTGATTATCCAGTTTTCCTAGCACCATTTATTGAGTAGGGATTTTTTTCCCCCAGTGTATGCTGTTGTCGGGTTTATCAAAGATCAGATGGCTGTAAGAGATTGATTTCATCTCTTGGTTTTCTGTTCAGTTCTAAATGTCTATGTCTTTCTTTTTGTGCCAGTAACTTACAGTTTTGATCACTGTG